AGTACAAAGACCCCGAAATCCTGCAAAGAGTTCCTGCTGCTTTCTCCACTCTTGCTGCTGTTTATTTGGTTTTGGTGCTGCTGGCGGTTTGTCTCATTTCAAACCCCCCCGAGCTGCAGCAGCAGCAGCAGCAGCAGCAGCAGCAGCAGCAGCAGAAGGCGCTCGCGCAGGAGGAGGAGGGGCAGCTGCTGCAGCGCCAGCTGCAGCCGCGGCAGCAGCAGCAGCAGCAGCAGCAGCAGCCACCGCTGGCTGCTGTGCTGCAGTCTCCCCAGTTCCTGCTGCTGTGGGGCAGCTTTTTGCTGCAGGGCATCAGCATTATCTTTGTGGCCAGCTTCTGGAAGCCCCTTGCTGCTGCTGCTGCTGCTGCAGGGCTGCAGCAGCTAAGCGAAACCCAACTTGCTGCTGTTGGTGCTGCAGCAAGTGCATGCAACGCCCTGGGCAGAATTCTCTGGGGAAAATATGCAGACGCTCATTCCTTTCAACAGGCTCTAGTCCGTTTGCTGCTGCTGCTGCAGCTGTTGCTGCTGCTGCTGCTGCTGGTCTTGCTGCTGCTGTTGCGGCTGGCTGTGCTGCTGGTGGTCGTGCTGGCGCTGCTGCTGCTGCTGCTGGCCTTGCTGCTGCTGTTCGTGCTGGCGCTGCTGCTGCCGCCCGTGCTGCTGTTGCTGCTGCTGCTGCCGTTGCTGCTGCTGCTGCTGCTGCAGCTTCTGCTGCAGCTGCAATGCCCCTTTGTCTCGCTGACTGTTCGCGTGTGTGTGTGTGTGTTTGCTTGCGCTGCTGCTGGTGCTGCTGCTGCTGCTGCTGCAGGTGCTGCTCTCGAGCCTTTGGTTTGCTGCTCTGCTGCTGCTGTCTGTTGCAGCAGCAATTAACGGGGCCCTTTATGCTGCAGCAGTTTGTCTAAACTTCTTTTGTCTTGGAGGAAACTTTGCACTTTTCCCTGCAGGCACTGCTGCTCTCTTTGGCAGACAAGCCTTCGGTAAACCCTAAACCCTAAACCCTAAACCCTAGACCCTAAGCTCTGCAGCAGCTGCTGCCATCGTCGGCAGCAGTGCCTTGGTAAACCCTAAACCCTAAACCCTAGCCCCCGGGTTGCTAGCTGCCTACAATCCCCGCACTACTAGCAGCTATCTAAACACCGCAGCATCATCAACAGCAGCAGCAGCTGCAGCTGCAGCAGCAGCAGAAACAGTGAGCGACATTGCTGCAGCAGCAGCTGCTGCAGCTGCTGCAGCTGCCCCAGCTGCAGCAAGACTGTGCCGCTCTTCGCCTGTTCGCAACTACGCCCCCCTTCTGCTGCTACTGCTGCTGCTGCTGCTGCTCCCGCTGCTGCTGCTGCTGCTGCTGCTGCTGCTTCCGCTGCTGCTGCTGCTGCTGCTGCTGCTGCAGGGCGCGTGTACGGGTTTGTGTTTTTGGCCCAGCTGGGCTCTTCTTTGGTGGGGGCTTTTGTGTTGCCGCTGCTGACGAGGTGCAGCAAAGTTTTTAATTTTGGAGTTTTAAATTCATTTTTAATTCTTTTTTTGTCCTTTTGGGTCTTTTTTGTCTCTTTTTTCCTCCTCTTTTCTCTCCATCTTGTCTTTTTTGAATTCTCCGTTTCCCTTTCTTCTTTTTTGTCTTTTTTTGGTCGTTTTCGGAGTTTTTTTCGACTTTTTTCGCCTTTTTTGCCCCATTTTATTGTTTCTTTTGTTCCAACTTTTTCTTTTATTTCCTTTTGTTAGTCTCTCTTTATTTTTTATTCTTTGCTTTTGTTTTCATCTTTTAATCTTTGTTTATTTCTTTTTTATTTTTATTTCCCTTTTTATTTGCTTCTTGTTTGTCTTTTGTTTGTTTCTTTTTGTCCTTTTATTTGTCTTCAATTTGTTTCTTTTTGCCTTTTCATTTCTTTTTATTTGTCTTTAATTTGTTCCTTTTTGCCTTTTATTGGTCTTTTTATTTTAATTTCTTCTCTGCTTTTATTTGTCCTTTTATTTCTACTTCTTTTCTGCCTTTATTTGCTTTTTATTTGTTTCATTTTATCTTTCTATTTGTCTTTTTAATTATCTTTTTGGTTCTTTTTGTCTTTTTATTTGCCTGTCATTTGTCCCTTATTGTCTTTTTATTTGTCCTTTTAATTTGTCCCAGGCCTCACACTGCTGCTGCTGCTGCTGCTGCTGCGGTGTGGGGTGTACAGACAGCTGGGAGTTTCGGGCACCTGCCGAGCGGTGTCTCTTTGCTGCCTCTCCGTTGTCGCTTTGCTGCTGTCCCTAAAAGGCTCTCGCGCTTACCAGCTGTTCAAGCCTTAGTTGCTGCAGCAGCAGCAGCAGCAGCAGCAACAGCTGCAGCTGCAGCAGTAGCAGCAGCAGCAGCAGATGCACACGGGAAGGAGTTCTTCGTGAACTTAAGAGGCTGTTGGGGCCTCGCGCGATGTCAGCTCTATACAGAAAAAACAGCAGAAGCAAGAGCAGCAGCAGCAGCAGCAGCTCTGCTGCTGCTGCTGCTGCTGCTGCTGCTGTTGCTCAAATGCGCAGGCGAGTGCTGCCTGCTCAGGTGTACAGACACCTCGTGTGGGGTGCCCCACACCCAAAACTCAGTTTTAAATATATGCGCAGCTTCGAGAGCAGCAGCAGCTGCTGCTGCTGTCGCTGCTGCTGCTGCTACGGCCGCTGCTGCTGCAGCTGCTGTTGCTGCTGTGTCTCTGAAGCAGGGCGCTTGCTTTCGTGCTGCTGCTGCATGCAGTTCGCAGCAGCAGCTTCAGCAAGAGACGTTGCACATGATAGGTCTCGCAGTGCTGTCAGCAAGGCCTGCCGCTGCTGCTCCTGCTGCTGCTGCTCTTGCTGCTGCTCCTGCTGCTGCTGCTGCAAATTGTCAAAAGCAATGAAGGCCCCCCCCACCGCCTGCAGCCCTGAAGGGCAGCACAGCAGCATCCGTAAAGCGCGAGCTTCCTTCTGGGTTAGACGCTGGCTGCTGCTGTTGCTGCTGCTGTCGCTGCTGCTGCTGCTGCTGCTGCTGCTGGGTTTGGCCGCTGTTGCTGGCTGGGGGTGCTGCAGCATCTCCAGCCGCCGCAGCAGCAGTGCAATATCTCGCGGCTGCCACCGACCTGCAGAGACACCGCAGAGGTGGATGTACACTCTACAGCAGCAGCAGCAGCAGCAGCAGCAGCAGGTGCTGCTGCTGCTATTCCACGTACTGCAGCAGCAGCGGCAGCAACAGAAGCAAAGTGTTACCTTCAGGCGCCCCAGCGGACAGGACCCACTCCGCTGCAGCCCTCGGTTCCTGCTGCTTCTGCTGTTGCTGCTGCTGCTGCTGCTGCTCGTCATTTGCTACCTCGCTAGCTGCGGCGAGGGAATTTTGTTCGGGCTTTTGAACCTGTCTGCTGCTGCTGCTGCTGCTGCTGCTGGCAGCAGAAGCAGCTGGAGCAGCAGCCGCTGGGACATCCAGAGCAGCAGCACCAGCTGAACTTGCTGCTGCTGCTGCTGCTGCTGGTTTAGGGAAGAGAGCAGCAACTCTGTCTTCAAAGCAACCCGCCATCCGCTGCGCAACTTCTCGCAAGAAAACCCTGGCCAGCTTTTGGTATAGCGTTGACCGACACTGCAGCAGCAGCAGCAGCAGCAGCAGCAGCAAAAGCAGCAGCGGCAAGTGCAGCAGTGGAAGCAGCTGAGAGGGCTGTGGGGCAGCAGCCGCAACAGAGGACACACGCGCAGCAACTGCACCAGCAAAAAAAGGTCCTCCCAAGCACTGCAGCAGCAGCTGCTGCTGCTGCAGCACATGAAGCTGCAGCCGCCGCAGCAGCAGCAGCAGCAGCAGCAGATGAAGTTGCTGCTCTAGCAGCAGCAGCAGCAGCAGCAGCTCACGGAAAATCTGGTGGAGAAGCGAACGAGGCAGCCCTTGCCTGCGGGGGCATCCTTCAATACCCACAATGTCTCCTGAAGCAGCAGCAGCAGCAGCAGCAGCAGCAAGTGCAGCAAATGCAGCATATGCAGCAAACGAAGCAGCACAAGCGCAGTATCCGCACGCGCAGCAGCAGGCGCAGCAAGGGCAGCCGC